TAATCCTTGTCACGCCCACTACAAGTTTCTTAATAGATATTGGCTTTATCTAATATTTATTTTCGACGTTCATTTTTATTCTTAATTAATAAACCCTTAATAATTAAGCATAAAACACATAATCCTTTTCATTTCTTCCAATGAGTTACAAGGGTTAACCTAGACTATAATGTCAATATTAATGCCTAGCCTAGAAACACGGGCATTACAGAACCATTATTAATCAAGGAACCAAGGAACCAATTCAAAGCGTCGGAATTTAACACGATCAACGACAAAAGAAATGGTTGTAAACTTTTATAATGGTCGCACATGTACCGGATTATAACAAAACCAACTTCCTTTTTTTCATTTAAATTTTTTTTTAGGCCAAGTTCTTTATCGAAAAAAAAACCGAATATACGTTGTTCCGATTTTTCGTCCCTTTCCATAGAGATTAATGATGATATATAAAAAAACGAACTTTTTTTTTTCGAAAAAAACCACTTAATTTTCTTGTTTTTTCAATATTTAAGTTTATTTTTATGAAAAAAAAAACTAATTATACCAAAAATATTAATTTTTTGTACTCTATTAATAACATCAAACAACGATTAAAAAAAAAAACTCGAAACCGTGTAGATTCACACTGTGAATCTAACTGTAAATATTTCAATTTTTAACATTCACAATATGAAAAATCTCGAACAGTTCAGATTCACATTGTGAATCTGAATTATTATTATGCACACTGTGAATCTGAGAATGTTCACAAAAAAAACCCTTCGATCAGTGTAGATACACTGTGAATCTAAACTGTAAATATTTCAAACTTTTAACATTCACATGTAAAAAGCTCCGATCAGTTCAGATTCACACTGTGAATCTGACTTGTTATTATGCCACTGGTAATCTGAGGAGGTTACAATGTGAATCTGAACATGTTTACAATATGAATCTGAATACGTTCACAATGTGAATCTGAAACTTGAAATATCGTTTTTTTAACATGAATATGAATCTATGTTTAAAAAGTACAAAAATATGAATTTGATATATTTATTAATTTTTTTCTATAAAAAAATAGACGTTAATTTTTTTATCAAAGAAATGAAGGTGTTTTTTTCGAAAAAAAAGTTCGTTTTTTATTATATATCATGGATCTCTATGGAAAGCGGACGAAAAATCGTGAACAACGGATATTCAGTTTTTTTTCCGATAAAAAACATGACCTAAAAAAATTTTTAAACGAAAAAAAGTGGTGAGTTTTTATGTAAAGGGTATATTTTTTGGTATAATTCGGTGTGTGTGCGTCAAATGTAAAAGTGTACATCTATTTCCTTGGCCGTTGATCGTTATGATTTCCGACGCTTACGATTGGTTCCAATGTAAAAGTGTACATCTATATCAATATGGATGTCTATTTGTAGAAAATAAAAAATCATGACTTTTGATATATTTTTAAAAATCATTTTCGATAAAAATATCTTCTTAAAAATTAAAAAAAACGAAAAAAATTATGTTTTTGTATATATTAAGGTAATGATTAGCATAATTTAAGAAAACATGTTTTTGTTGGAAAACACATGTCAATTCCTTTCCCATTTCTGCTAGTATATATATATATATTATAGATAGTATATGATATTATATATATTTATATAATATATATATTATATCTATATATATATATATATATATATATATATATCATTTGAAATCAAATATATAATTGCCTCGCCCTAATTGCCAATATGCCCCTCAGCCCAAAACAACTGGATCAAAATTTGGGCCTAAATAATAAAATAGATATGCAATTTGTCTTTTTTGTTTTACAAAAATTGGTAGTTTATAAAATGAAAAATTAAGATATGTTTATCAAAAATTAACAGCATTTGAAATCAAATATTTTATCGTTAAAAAACAAAGATCAAACATTTTGAAGGACTTGACAATTTAAATATTATGGTTATTTAAATAATATGTTTTATAAAATTTTATTTGTTTTTATAATTATTTAAAAAATAGAAAGAAAGAAAAAAAAATGATAACATGGAAATTATTTTGATGTGGAGGATCATTTCGTAAGTTAAATAATCTTATGTGGAGGATGATATAATAATATAAAATGTGAGGCGACAAAATAATAATATTATAATATGGATCTATACCTACCTGTCCTAGTCTTACCATGAGATAAAAGAATTTTGTGAGTCATTAAAAAATATTGGGATGTAATATTAGTTAATACACGTGATATTTTCAAGTTTGTTGAAGAATTTTGTGCTTCTATCTTAGATTTGTTTTTATTCCTAACAGTACTATAAAAGTTTGTTGAAAAATTATGATCCTCCTGTGTCGATAAAAGACTATAGACCTATTACTTTTTAATTCGTGTGGAGTATAACATATTAATCAAGTTACTTACAAACATATTAGCCAAGGTGGAATGGAGTATAACACATTAGCCAAGTTACTACCATGAGAGAGGATCATTAGTAGTTATTAAATTAATATTAATTAATACAATCCCTAGCTACCAGCGTCTCCGAACAATCCCTGAAAGGGAAAACTATCAATGTCAGCCACCAGCCACGACGGATACATCCACCCATCCACCGTTTCAACCACCAACTCACTTGATGACGATTCAAAACACCCATCTAGACTTGGTAACTCAATGATTTCACCCAACTGATCATCCACAGGATTGACGACGTTATCAGCAGACAACATAGACCCAGTCGACAACGGCGGTTGCACCAAACTCTCCGACGAGGAAGAGACAAACTCTTGCATGGAGGCTGCTTTCGCGGCAGCTTTTTGGACGTCACGTGGAGAAACAGAAGCTGGACGTGGCAAAGAGTCTCTGAGTTGAGGAAAGTTAAGAATGGCGGAATTACCTTTGATTGATAACGCGGCAACATCATGAGCTCTGGCAGCCATCTCCGCCGTGGAAAAACTGCCGAGCCAAATGCGTGACTTCTGACGTGGCTGTCGTATCTCTGATACCCATTTACCCCATCGGCGGAGTCGGACTCCACGATACACCGGGTGTTTGTAACTTAAATCACCAGGATTTGGACGTGATCTCTTTTTAATCATGCAAGACTTGGGTTGTAAACCGGAGGATTCTGATATTTTTGACCCACCGGCGGTGGAGAAGGAGGAGGAAGACGAGGAGAGATTGGTGTTGTTACTATCGGCCATTGATGTTTTTTGGGGCGCTATACCAACGTGTTATTTGTAGGCTACTAGCATGATCGTAATTCGTACGTAATATTCGAAGGGTACGACTTTCATGATCATTTGTACTTGAATATGTGAATAAGAGAAAGATGTAACCAAAAAATAATAATAATATCCACGACTATATATCTTTCTGCACTTGGAGTGAGTTTGACGTTAACGTTGTAAATGAATGGAAGGATAAAGTAATGACATAAATAAATATCATGATTTATTAGTAGAGCAGTAGAGCTAATCATAATTATGATAAATATTAATACAATATTATAAAATAACCAGTATTTATTACTGGATAAAATAATCATCCAATTTGTATAACATGGTTTTTGGATTCGTGAAATTACTTTTTCTAATATCACATAATCTATTTTTAGATGATATATTTTAATGATTTTATTTTCGCAAAAATCTCACTGAATTGCCAAAACAAGTATTTGATATTTCATTTAAACAAAGTTAGGTGTAACGTAAGTGATTTAAGCCTTTTGTATTTTAAGAGAATGTTATGGGATTAAGTCCTATTTAAGACCATTGTTTCAATACATTTGGCACATTTAAAGAAAAAATATTTGAGAAGAGTTGAACACATAAAATTAGGGGTGAATATGGACCGGGGCTGACGTTGAAATGTTACCGGTTTGCATACATCGGGCTGGTTTTTGGTTCTCGTTATACCCCATTTTCGGTTTCGGTGTTTTTACCAGTTAGGTTCAATCGGGTTCGGGTAAAAACAAATTTGGATAGGAAAATATTTAAACTGTCATAAATTATTAATTTGAAGTCGGAATTACATGATATTTTCCCCAATATGTAATTTATAGTTTGTATTTCAATTTAACACTTTATTTGGTTACATATTAATTGAGTTAGAGATCTTTGAACACGATTTATCAAAGCTAAAATGTTTCAACTTTTTGCATAAATATTGAATCTATAAAATTATTTAAAATGTCATAATCCATTCGTTTGAAGTCGAAATCATATAATATTTTTCCAAACATGTAGCGTACAATTTGTACTTCAATTTAGACTATAATTTCTCTTTATTTAGTTATATATTCATTGAGTTACAAGCCATGAAGACGGAATATCAAATAGGGTTAATGTCATAAAAACCCTCAAGTTTACAGGGTTTTGTCGGTTTTGCCCAAAGTTGAAATTTATGTCCGTTTTTCCCAAACATTTTCGAAAAAATGTTCATTTTACCCTTTTACCGGTGATAACAGTTTTCCAGGTTACCATTATATTATATTCACAAAAAAACCCGGTAAGTTACCCATTTTTTTTTGCGTGTACCCTAAGTTTATAATTTTTTACACTTTTACCCTAAGTATATTTTTTTTCATAAATTACATATTTATGCAGAAAAATCGTATTTAATACAAAAAATATTTAATTAAATATTGTATTTATATTTTTTTAATGGTATATATAGATAGATATAGTATATATATTTGTTGTGTGTTTGTGTTTTGCATGGTTATACCATTTAAAAAGATAAATAATATTTTAGAATTATGAATATGTAGAATTATGAATATGTGTTTTATAGATATAGTTTTTAGAAGTATAAATACATATTTTTCAATTTTATATATTAATATGTATCTATACTTCTAAAAAATATTTATACTTTAAAAAAACTATATCAAAATACATATTTACACTTCTAAAATATATGTATATACTTATATAAACATGTTTATGAATGAACAAGTTTTTTTATTGATATGTATATTTTTAAATACATAAAAATACGTATTTGTAGTTCTAAAAATATATTAATTTTTTTTACATTTTAAATGGTTTATCCAAGAAAAAAAAATCCATACACCACCACACACACACACACACACACCATATATATATATATATATATATATATATATATAAAGAATTAACATTACACAATGTAAATACAATATTTAATTAAATTTTTTTCGTTTATAAATATGATTTTTCTGCTTGAATACATATAATATGAAAAAAAAGATATGGTAAAAGTGTTAAAAAATTATAAACTTAAGGGTAAAAACGTAAAAAAACTGTAACTTAAGGGTTTTTTTGCGAAGTTAATATAATGGTAACCTGTTATCATCGGTAAAAGGCTAAAACCGAACAATTTTTGGAAAATGTTAGGGTAAAAACGGACATAAAATTCAACTTTGGGCAAAACCGACAAAGCCCTGAAAACTTGAGGGTTTTTATGACATTAGCCCTATCAAATATGAAATGTTTTGTTCTTTTTTTTTTTTTGTGAATTTCTACATTATGATGATGATAATTCATTTTTTTTATGTATTTGATAGAAAAAGTATATTAAAATAATCTAAACTAGTGAATGTTCAAACAACTCATCTAAACCTATTGGATAGAAACTACTTCAACAACTTGTATTATCTACGTTCCAACCAGTTCAAAAACTGGAACTTTGGAACCAACAACGGCACCATTATATGTTTAATGGTCCGGTTATCAGAACATTCATTTCCTCTAAACCGGTTTTGACCTGATCTGGGTCGGGTCGGTCCATATGCTTAGACAAAAAAATAATAAATGGTTAAATAGTTAAATACATTATTTTAAAAAAAATATCATGCCTAGTACAAATTTCGTTTTTTATTTTAGTATTCGTATGAAAGTTAGAATTAATTCGTATATCATAAACAATGGGACAAAAGTGGGCCCGAAATGGCTGGGCTTTGTCGTTTCTGCATGCGTTTCAAAATGGAATTGAGGATATTGATTGGATCTATAATATCTCTTTTTTCTTCAATTTACAGTGGATGAAACTGTTTGGGAAGAGGCCAGCGTTAGCTATGGCACCGACGATACCATTAGAAACACCATTCCGACCTATGTCGTATTGAAAAATTTGAAGGAATCTGAGCTTGGAGAACCTGATCTCTCTCTCTCTCTCTCTCTCTCTCTCTCTCTCTCCTCTCTCTCTCTCGTTGAACAGTGACTTTTCTTTTTCTATTACTTTTTAACAATTTACCATCTATATAAACCACTCTTAAACATACCAAAACGTCATACCTTTCTCTGGTTCCAACCCAACCTTTTGTATTTCATTCCAAATAGATTCTAGTCGTGGCTAATCCAAAAAAATAAGTTCAAGCCAAAGAAGAAGCCATTGAAGCAGAAGTGTAAGTGGTTCGTAATATTTCCCAAATTTGATTGATGTAACTCAAATAAGATACCAACAATATCCACCACAATATTCTCAATTTCCTATACAACATTTGTATAATTAATTTCAAGTATCTCAAGACCAATAAAGTTTTAATTTGTTCCAAAAAAATCCCAGAATCTATACTCAAAACCTAATTTTGTGATGCCCATAACGTCTAGTGAAACTGAATCAAGCAATGACACCCAATCGATCCCTCAAACCCATGAATCTACCGATAAAGAACCCCAAATTGTCGCTCAATCGTCCAAAATTTTACACGATGGAAATAATCAAGATAATAGACCAAAAAAAGAAGAAGTCGTGTTGGCAAAGGCATATGTCAACATTTCAGAAGACAATGAACATGGAAATCAACAACAGACGGAATCATTTTGGTAGCGAGTACTTGACAAATTCAAAATGCAACATCGGGGTTCTAACTATAGTATGTTCATCAAGTGAACTCAAAACAGAAGGATTTATAGGTAAAAGTGAACAGGTTCAATTGCATATTCAATAACAAGACGAACTCACGAGCAAGTGGAATATCAAAAGTTGATATTTTAAATACGATACAAAATGAGTATAAAAAAAATTATAAAATGAAAGTTTTTACTCATGATGCGGCATGTGTGTAAACACACCTGAAATGATTAACCATGGGTTTAACAGGTGATAGTTCCCTTCATCCATCGCAAACGATCAAAACATCTGGCTCCCACACATACACATTAACACATAAACATTCTTCGGATGCCAATTTCCATTAGAATTCAATGTAGAGGCTGAAGAGTTTTCGGTTGAAGAATCACGACGTCCATAACCAAAAATGATGAAATCGGTATCTTCATCCGCAAATAAACTTTATGATGATAGCAAAGTACTCGTTACTAAAAGTGTTGATCTCACCAATACAAACAAACAAGATGTTGAAGACAAATAACAATAGCGGAGGGATAAGTTGTGTATAATTGACATGGAGAAGCAAAATAAAGTTACGTTTAATTATAGAGACACAAATCTTTGAGGAGTAGTTACGCTTGATTATGGAAAAACGAATGGAAAATAATTTTTGATTTTTTCTTCAGTTGCATAACCATTGGATGGAGGGATGTTGGCTGCGATGCTCGATCGCAAGCAAGAACTAGGGGCGATTTATGGTGAGAAGTTAGACAATTTCTCATTTTATTTAAATTATCATTTTAGGATTTAAATTGTTTTTGTAGGATTTAATTTATAGTTTCTAGGATTTTAATTAAAATTTGTAATAGTGTGCTTTTCGTAAAGAAATGCTAATCTTAATTTTAGTTTTATTTAGTATTTTTAAAGTTATAAATGTTTTAAAAATAAACAATGTGTGGGTTGAAGGGTTGAGAGGAAGATTGCTTCTGATTTTGTAAGTTTTTTTTTTTGTTTTTTAATTTACCTTAGTATTAGGTTTCTCTTTTTAACTTATTTGTGGTATTTATGTAAAAGAAGCATTTCACACATGATCCAACACAGTGAAATTTTCTTGTATACAAACTAAGAATCATGAAATGTCTTTTATACTTGTCAAAGCTAAAAAAAAATCATGTAAGTTTCATTCCATAACTTTTAAATTGTGATACAATTTTTTTCATGATTTTTATCTCAATTTATAATTATAATAAGATTGTAGGATGATTTTATGGAACGTCATGATGAGTTGGAAGCAATAGGAGAGGAAATTGATGAAGACAAATTGTTTTACGATGTTGTTGGAGGACATGATCATAAATGAAGAATATATGGATTTGGCTTATAT